AAACCAAGTTTATACTGTATTCTCATTTTAGTGTTATATAAGCATTTTATTATAATTTTATAAAAATGGAAATGGTGGCGAGAAGGAAAAAAAGACTGGCCAGAGGGAGACCAAGAGTTAGAAAAGTCTCTAGGGAGGTTCTTGGGGCAAAATGTCTTCCCTGATAGATGGCTTTAATGAGACACCAGATTTTCCTTGGACACAGAAAGCTGAGGGTAGAATCATGCACAACTCTAACCTGGAAATATCACTTTTGGAACTGAAAAAAAAAAAAATCATCATAGCATCGGGGAACAGTGCCAACAAGTCAAATATTTAATAATTAGGGTTGTTATGTACACCATAAGCTGGTTAGTGGAAGGGAAAGCAGAAACATTAGAGTTGTGTATCAAATGATACATAAATTTTAGAGGCAGGTGGAATATAAAAGAACATCTAGACAGAGGGAGCATCACTGCAATGCCAAAAGTAGAGGTTGGGTGATAATACTTAGATTGGGTTTATCTACTTATGAACATTGTATTTTTTTGTTCAAATAATAGGGAACTCTTGGAAGTTTTTGTTCAGAGGAGTAGCATGTTGCAGTTGGTGTTTGAGTTCTATTAATTGGTGGTAGTCTGAGGAAAAACCTAGAAGAGGGGAAAGAGTCTAAAGGCAGGCCAATTAAGACACTTGTAAGGTGCTATGCATATTGCATTGTTGGAGTGATGGAACTAGAAATGATGAAGAAGAGACATGTGAAAAAATATTTTATTCCATCAGCATATATTGAGTATCAGGTATGGTAAGAAAATAGGAATGGTGGTAGATGTAAAGATTTCTTCCTATAGTATATAATCTGCATGGTAGAGAAAAACACAAGCAATGTGATAAACTGGGAACATTGTGAGACAAATAATTGATAATTTATGAGTCTATTATATGTTAAATATAATAAAGAAAAAGACATCCCCTGTAGTAAAATAGATACATAGCACTAGTAGGCAATTCATAAGAGTGCAAATGGCTAATAAATAAATCCTACCATTTTTGAATGTCTAAGGAGAACCATACCATGTATTGGTGGGAATATGGATAAATGGGCATTTTGATATGTTGCTAATGGGAATGTAAATAGGCACAACCTTTGGGACATGTGGTATCAAAACTTAAAAAAAATTTGTGCACATATACTATTTCTAGTTATTTTGAAGAACCATCATAGATGGTAGTATGGATTTATGTGTAAGAAGGGTACTTATGCTGTAGTGTAGTTTACAATAGTGGAAAATTGGAACAACCTAAATAGCCAGCAACAGATGATTAAATTATGGAGCATCTATGTAATGTAACACTATGCTTCTATAAAAGATGCATTATAGAAAAATAATAATTTACATGCAAAGATTTTTATTATTCAAAATAAATCTTTTTTTCTTTCATTCATTTATCCACCCAGTAACAGTGTACTTTATTATAATCATAGCTCCTCACCATTCATCTCCTTTGGGTTTATTATTAAAGTGTGCCTTTTAGTAGTTCTTTTTAAATTTTTTTTTTCTTTTTTTTTCAACGTTTTTATTTATTTTTTTTTGGGACAGAGAGAGACAGAGCATGAACGGGGGAGGGGCAGAGAGAGAGGGAGACACAGAATCGGAAACAGGCTCCAGGCTCCAAGCCATCAGCCCAGAGCCTGATGCGGGGCTCGAACTCACGGACCGCGAGATCGTGACCTGGCTGAAGTCGGACGCTTAACCGACTGCGCCACCCAGGCGCCCCAGTAGTTCTTTTTAAAAAAAAATTATTTTTTTATTTTGAGAGAGTGAGCGAGCGAGGAAGGGGCAATTTTTTTTTTTTTTTTTTTAAGTGTATGCTTCTTGGGGCTTATGTACATTTTCAGTTTGAGGTCTTGCATCTTAATTCTCAACATATTCTCTCTTTTTGTTTTCTTTCAGCATATTCGCTTTGAATGATATTTTCACCACTTTCTTTATTTTTCCTTTATGGGACTCCTATTTGTTACTGAGCTTCTCATTTTATCGTTTATGTTTTCCATCTCTTTATTCCTCTGACTGATATCTTCCAATCAATAATTCTCTCTTCAGCTACATAGTTTACTATTTAACCTAATTTTAGGTTTTTATTTTTCAAATTTGTACTTGGTTTTTCAGGTTAGCCTGATATGATCTCATAGTATTACCTAACTTGTAAAAATATTTTATTCCTTCCTTTGTATCTTTGAATATTTTTAACTGTACCTATTTTAATTTTCTTTAAAAAAATTTTTAATGTTTATTTTGAGAAAGAGAGCAAGAGAGCGGGGGCGGGACAGAAAGAGGGAGACAGAGTATCCAAAGCAGGCTTTGTGCAGTGAGTGCAGAGCCCGATGTGGGGTTCAAACTCTTGAACTGTGAGATCATGACCTGAGCTGAAATCAGGAGTGGGCTACTTAACTGACTGAGCCACCCAGATGCCCTTTAATTTCCTTTTTAGATTATTATGTCTAGTCCCGTAGCTATGAATTTTCCTGTTAGCTCTGTGGACTCTTTTGGCAATGAACTTATCCATATATCTCCAATTCCCACTTAACTACTGTAGCTGTTCAACTCTCTTTATTTTTGATGTGTGGAGATTTTCTTTTTTTTGCTTTCAAGCTTAGACATAAAAACCAAGTTACTAAGTCGATGAGATAGTCTATATAACCAACACTTCAGGATTTTCAACTGTGAAGGAAAGGAGAGAAACAACATTATTTATAGTTCTTAATGCTTCTGGAGTGATCTCTTTTTTTTTTAATATCATAAAACAATGGACTCTGTCCTCTGAAATAACTAAAAAATACATTAATAATTATTCATAAAGATTCAGGGACTCCATAAAGTATATTTGGGAACCTCTGTCCATAATGGACCCTGGTTTAAGACACCTTAACCCATTGGGATTAACATAGCTTAAAATTTTTTTAAATGTAGGAGAGGTTGTGGGCTAATGAGACGGCATGAAAGCAAGGTTGCACAACAGTGGTTCTCAAGTTTAGTTAAGCTGTGGAGTCCTTTACTGATGTAAAATCTAATAAGCTCAAATTTATGAAATATATATAAGTAAATTTTCTCCAGTTGAAGCAGCCATGGGATCCTGGAGCCTGCTCACTTGCCAGCCTCTGCCCTCACCTATCCTGGGGCCAAAAATATACCCTTTGACATTCTGCAACACTGGTAGAAGACTACTGGTGAATTAGAAAGAACATTTGATAGTACTCTCAGGAATTCTTTCTTATTCCAGCTCTGTTACTGGTTATTTGTATTGGTTGTAGACAATGTTCATCATTGTCTACATTGTAAGAAAGGGAAGAGGCAGTTTAAAGGACTTCAATGAAAAAGAATTGCATATGATGTTATATTTAAAGTATGTAATTACATAGTTACATTATGATGTTAGAAATGGAGTTTGGGGGCCCCTGGGTGGCTCAGTTGGTTAAGGCTGACTCTTGATTTTGGCCCCACTCTCTCTCTTAGAATAAGTAAATAAACAAACATTTTTTTTTTAAAAAAATGAAGTTTGATACAAGCAGAAATGTTATGAATTTTTTTCTAATTTTGCCATTTGACATCTTTTTTTATTTTTTATTTTTTTTTTAAATTTTTTTTTCAACGTTTATTTATTTTTGGGACAGAGAGAGACAGAGCATGAAGGGGGGAGGGGCAGAGAGAGAGGGAGTCACAGAATCCGAAGCAGGTTCCAGGCTCTGAGCCATCAGCCCAGAGCCTGACGCGGGGCTCGAACTCACGGACCGCGAGATCGTGACCTGGCTGAAGTCGGACGCTTAACCGACTGCGCCACCCAGGCGCCTCATTGACATCTTTTTTTAAAAAGGTTAGTCTTGTGCAAGATATACTGGGAAATGAAAACTTGGCAGTAAATTCATGGCTTTTTTTAAAAAAGGTATTTAAGCATATACATTCTTATATGGAAAAAACCAGACATCAAAATGGAAAGAGGGGCACCTGGGTGGCTCAGTCGGTTCAGCGTCCGACCTCGGCTCAGGTCACGATCTCACACTCCGTGAGTTTGAGCCCCACATTGGGCTCTGTGCTGATAGCTCGGAGCCTGGAGCCTGCTTCAGATTCTGTGTCTCCCTCTCTCTCTGCCCCTCCCCTGCTCATGCTCTGTCTCTCTGTCTCAAAAATAAATAAAAACATTAAAAAATAAAAAAAATGGAAAGAACGGGAGAAAGAAAATGGAAAGCTTAGTTAACTATGGGTGAGGAGATGATTGATTTTTTTTAATTTAAAATTTTTAAAAAATCTTTATGTATTTTTGAGAGACAGAGCATGAGCAGGGAAGGGCAGAGAGAGGGAGACACAGAATCTGAGGCAGGCTCCAGGCTCTGAGTTGTCAGTACAGAGCCTGACACGGGCTTGAACCCATGAACTGCAAGATCATGACCTGAGTTAAAGTCAGATGCTTAACTGAGCCACCCAGGCGCCCCTGATTGATTTTACTTTATTCTCTTTTTTGTTTTTTCTTTTTTCTTTTTCATATTCTCTTAAAGTGAATATACATTACTTTTGTGGAGAGAAAAGAGTTTCAAAATAAAAATTTTTTTAAGTTTACTTATTTTGAAGAGAGAGAAAGAGAGCATGAGCAGGGGAGGGGCAGAGAGAGACGCAGAGCAAGAATCCCAAGCAGGCTCTATGCTGTCAGCGCACAGCCCAGTGCGGGGCTTGATCTCATGAACTGTGACATTATGACTTGAATTGAAATCAAGAGTTGGTTGCTGAACCAACTGAGCTACCCAGGTGCCCCTAAAATAAAAGATTTCTTCAAGAAAAAACAAGTCATTCAAGTTCAGAACTAAGTTGAATATATATTTAGAATAAATCATAAAATTACCTCGTTGTTGGCTTTTGAAAATAATAGAAACTGATTAAAAACATTCTTAAATATTTCCCTTTTAGGTTTTTCCATGTGAGTGGGGAAGACAGTTGCTGCAAGTAGAAGTGACATAACATTTTTCTAGAATGTCTGAAGATGAAGAAAAAGTGAAATTACGCCGTCTTGAACCAGCTATCCAGAAATTCATTAAGATAGTAATCCCAACAGACCTGGAGAGGCTAAGAAAACACCAGATAAATATTGAAAAGGTGAGTTTTTTCATTTTCTGCCACGAGAAACAGTTACATATTCTGATTTATACTTGTGCATTTCAGCTAAATTTAGAATATTAGATAAGAAGCTTTGCTAAAATATCCATCTCCTATTGATTTAACAATATTCATTTTTTCATCTGGGTTTTGTTTTACAAATATACCTCTCATATTCTTCATTTTTTAGGGAGGAATATTAGAATAGAAACTATGCCTTTTGGGGCGCCTGGGTGGCGCAGTCAGTTAAGCGTCCGACTTCAGCCAGGTCACCATCTCACGGTCCGTGAGTTCGAGCCCCGCGTCGGGCTCTGGGCTGATGGCTCAGAGCCTGGAGCCTGTTTCCGATTCTGTGTCTCCCTCTCTCTCTGCCCCTCCCCCGTTCATGCTCTGTCTCTCTCTGTCCCAAAAATAAATAAACGTTGGAAAAAAAAAAATTAAAAAAAAAAAAGAAACTATGCCTTTTAAGTTGTACATGCTGACATATTAAGTAGTTAATAATTAACATACGAATCGTTTGATAGTGTACCATAATGTAAAGGCAGTGAACTTTGGCTAAGGGGCCTGCCTTAATTTCATTCACCTCATGGCAAGTTTTTTGAACTTTGGGGTCTATCAGTAACTCCTATCCTCTTTAGGTGCATGTAGCATAAAGAGGTAAATCATTGTGTGATATGAGGGAATTTCCCAAATTGACTTCTTCCCATTGAGGAAAGCCCCAAATTGAGAAATAGCACCTAGAGATCAGTTTAGGAAATAGGTAGAGGGAAGCACTAGTCTCAGGGACTGTGCTGAAGGTTGCATAGAACCTGGACAGGTCAGTGTCTGGTGGAAGAGTTGTGGCATTCATGGGAGCATCAGGTTTACTGAGTACTGAGCATTGATTTGGCAGTTTATGTGGTTTCATTTGCTATAGGACAGGTCAGTGGGATTTGCTCCTTAAAAATGATCTCTCCCAGTGTAAATTTTTTTATTTTTAATTTTTATTTTTTAGCTTATCTTTTTAATTTGTTTTCTAATGTTTATTTTTGAGAGAGAGAGAGAGAGAGAGAGAG